CTGGCTGCGGACAAGGAGCTTGATGTTCTCGGGGTGAAGTGTCGCCCTGGCTCATCCTGTGAGCTGCTGATGTCCCCAGAGGTGATGCCCCAGGTGAGGGCAAGAGCCTTCGGGAGGAGGAAACATCTGTAACAGGAGAGGAGCCCTCAGTGCTTGTGAGTTCTCAAGAGGGGCAGCACTGAGGAGTGGAGGAGGGGTGACCTGTGCTGTGGGTCCTGTTGCTCTTGTGCACCAGGGCAGAGCTCTCTGCAATCTGAAATGTGTGATCAGAGCTCTGTGCCCAGCGCCTGACAGCGAGGCTGGTGATGGGCTGCACAAAGGTGAGACACTGCTGAGGCACAGCCAGATGTCCTGAAATCCCAGTTTTTCTAGGGAAAATGTATTTGCAACAGATGATCTTCCTGGGAGAGCACTGTTCTAGCAGCAGCTCTGCTCCCTGGGCTGAGGCAGGTTCTCTGCTCAGATCCTGTCACTTCACATCCTGGTAACGGATTGAGCAGACTTGTTCTTGCTCCTTTTGCTTGGTGCTTCAACTTACTTCCTTCTTTTAGATGAAATTTGGGTCAGCTCTGTAGGTGATGACCCTTATTTTGAAATTGGTATCACTCCTGCACAGTGATGGAAGTAAAAGGCTGTTCTCATCCTTAAGGAGATGAGGAAGTTATCAGGGAAGGACTGATGGCTGAAGGGGTGGAAACAAAGTGTTGGGAAGAAAGGCCAGGACCACCTGAATTTGTTCTGAATACAGAACAAATGGAAGCTGGGCTGGTACCAGATGAACAAGCCAGTGCCTTTAGGGGATATTTCTCAGCTTCCTCCACTCAGAATTGAAACCTTGTAGTAGATACCTCGCTGTAGGAATCCCTGCCCATGGCAGGGGGTTTGGAATTCGATAATCTTAAAGGTCCCTTCCAACCCAAACCATTCTGGGATTCTGTGAACAGGGTAAAATTCACCCAAGCAGGGGCAGATCTGCTTGAGAGCTCCATGTGCAGATCTGGGCTGGGGCACAAAGTGGGAACCGGGAGACTTTTCCTCTGCTCCCTAAACCACACACAGATGCTCCCTCTGACTCAAAGCAGTGAGATGAGCAGTGTTTGTGAGCTAAAGAAACGGGGGCAATACTGTGTTTAAGGCCACTTGGGGTGCATGTCAGAGTCCCTGCTTGAGGCACACGGAGCTCTGAGCCTGATGAGGCGTCTGCAGGCACATGAAAGGCTCTGGTTGCAGTTTCCAGCTCCCTGCAAAGTGCCCAGTCTGCAGGAAATCACCGATGCTGGTTCCAGTATTAAAGGCCAGTCCCATTGTCCCAGCACAACCCACTGACACATTGTCCACAGGGTGGCTGAAGGTGTTGATTTTTTCCCCTTTAATGACTATGAAACCATTCATTAAACTAGTCAGAAAGTTACTCGAGGCCAGGAGCTTTTCAGCCAGGTTCAGCCAGTTTGGTGTCTGTGCTGCCAAACCAGTGTTCCAGCCATGTCAGGATTTGTCTCTAACCTGACACTGTCCCCACTCGTGGAACTGTGCCTGTGCTGGAATGTTCGTCTGCATTTTCCTGTGCTCTGTGCTGTGTTTTACCTCTGCCACCTTCACCCCATGCTCAGCTCTCAAGAGCTCGCCTGGTTTGCAGCCTGTGAGGAGAAATAATTGTGTGTTGGAGAAGCAGCAGAAAATCTCCTCCCAGGAGGGACCAGAGCAGAGCTCCCACCTTCCCACTTCCCCTGATGGGAGGCAGAACTGTGCCCAGGGCCCAGTCCGAGCCCCTGCTGCCTGGGATTCCTCCCACATCACAGAGATCCTGTGCCAACAATCCCAGCTTTCCACCTGCATCAGGAAAACGGGTGAGGAGATAGAGGAGTTGTGGAGCATGGAGCCAGTGAAGAGCCAGGTCATGTGTGAGTAAGCAGAAGCAGAAAGAGGATCTGCCTCCCATTGGGAAATCCACATTTCCCTCACTCCATTGACCCCTTTCTTGCCTCAAGTCCCAGGATTTCCCCCAGGTGTTCAGAGGAGTGAAGGTTCCAAACCCCTCTGGACTTAGGGCTCTCCCTCCTCTCAGCAGCTCCGTGCTGTGCCAGCATTGCTGGAGCTCCCGTGGAGCGGAGGGACGTGGGTGTTCCACAGAGCCGCAGTGGCTCTGCCTGCCGGGCTGTGCCGCTGCCACGTGTGGTGTTGGCACAACCTGCGGGATCAGCTCATCCCAAACAAAGCCAGGGAGGCCCTGCTGGTGTATCCCTGTCCGTGCAGGTCCCTCCTGTGGCAGAGCTGTGCTGGCACAGGCACAGGTGTCACTTGTCCCCTCTGTTCCCCACAGGAAGCAGCACGAGAGCGAGGAGGGGGAGAGTCACCGGCGCCACAAGCACAAAAAGAACAAGCGGAGCAAAGAGGAGAAGGAGACCAGCGAGGACGGGGCCCAGGAGGGAGAGGAGCAGGACACCAAGGAGTGAGCAGGCCCCCTCAGCCCTCGGGAGGAGCCACTCCTGGGCCCCCAGCCTGGCACTGCTGATGTTTGGGGTGGGGGGTGATTTTTTTTTATTATTTTTTACTTTTTCTAAGGGAAGAGGCCGACTGGGAGCCCTGACACGGCACAGGGCTCAGGGAGCTGAGGCTGCACATGCCCTTAAACTTCCTTTTTTGTTGTTTTTTGTTTTTGATACAAGACAATACAGCAGTACTAGTTACAAAGCACTGAGCTACTCTACTCATACACATCCCTAGGGAGGACTTTGGTGTATCAGATCCTATGGTTTCTGATGGAAGATGGCTTCAGCTGAAATTAACACAATTAGGTAATAGCTTTTGGTTCTTTTTTGTCATCATCATTCCTTTTTCAATAGGACAGTAAGTGCAACTTGAAATTTATTGTCCAAAGAACAGTGTGACTTAGACCCCGAGAGCCAGCTTAGAGTCTGGTGTGGTAGTGAAGTCTCATCCCAAATAAATTCCTTTATAGCTACAGAAAGAGCCTCTGGTTTCTCCATGGCTGAGGAGCTGCAGGGTCTGCTCTGCCTGCTGGGCACAGGGTCTGCTCTGCCTGACACTCACCCAGCGTGGGCAGAGACCCCAAAACTCACTTTGTTACCCATTGCAAAGGTAGCTCTGTCATGTTACACCTCTGAGTGGGAATCGATGAAGACCTGTAGTAAGACTTTCTCTTTAATTACTTTTGACTTGCCTGTTTTGTTTCCTTTTTCTTTCCTGAGTTGAGCTGAATAACCAAGGGCAGTAGAGAGCACCAAGTCCCAGCATTTTGCCCTCGTGGGGTTGGCATTTCTGTTTGGTTATCACCGACACTCCTGTCCGATGAATTCCTTCCCCTAGATCCCAAAATAAATTTAGTCGAATTCCAAAGTTTCTTTGGACTTAGTATTGGTTGGGGAGAGGGGTAACAGAGATGTTTCTGGGTGGGGAGAACAGGGGAGATAATTTTACGGGTTTTGGTCCTTAGGATCCCACCCTTCAGTTTGTGTGAGTCCACAAGTGTCTCATTTTTCTTTGACTTGTTATTTAAAACTGTCTTAAATATTTGTCCTAAAATAATACGGTTCTGAAATGTTCTGTATATTTTGGTATTGTAACCTTGCAAGTCTGAGTGTGCTGTGAAGTGTCGGGGCTGAGACCTGAGCCAGGAGAGCCCTCTGGGAATGGGTGACACTGGGATGAGTCCTTAACTGCAGAGCTTGGGGGAGAGGGGGAAGAAGTGGGGGCTGTCTTGGGTTTTGGTTTTTATGGCGGTTTTTCATGTGCTTTGAGGTCACAGGAAATGTGTGTGCCCTGACCCAGGATGAGGGGCAGGGCCTGGAATGGGGCTGGAGCTGTTCCTCCCTCTGCAGCCACAGCAGACCCCAGGGTTTGGGAACGCGATGTCTCTGAGGGGCAGCAGAGGATGGGCAGGGGTAACCCCAGCCAGGGAATCTCATCTCCTGGCACTGGGGGGGGACCAAGGGCAATGCTCCTGGAGTTCAGCTGAGAGTGCCCAGGAGCGTTCAGGAGCTTGGGGGGAACTGGCTTCTATGCAGTTACAGGATCCCAGAATCACTGGGGTTGGAAAAGGCCTCTGAGCCGTCACCACCTTGTCAGCAGGATCATGGCACTGGTGGGGCCTGGGCAGGGAGAAACCACACCCAGCCTGGTGAGGACTCAGGAGCGCCTGGTCTGTGCCCTCCCTCGGCTCCCAGAGCACAGGCTCCCCTGGGCAGGGCAGTGCCAAGGGGAGAGGGCCCAGCAGCCCTGCCCTGGGCTCCACAGAGAGCCCAGATTTGGGAATTGTGAAATGGGGTTGTTTTTTTCCGGCACTGAACTCTGAACTTGCAGGGCAGCAGTGCCAGAGGGGGTCAGGCAGTGGCCCCAGCCCACCCTGGGTCAGAGAGGGGCTGGCACAGCGTGTCCTGCCAAGGGCAGTGGGGTGTGGCCCCGGCCAGGGCCATGTTTGCCATGGCTGCAGGCTCAGGTGTCCTGGGGCCTCTCCGGGGGTGGGCAGAGCTGTTCCACAGCCTGTGGAGGTGACAGAAGCCTGCTGTAAACAGACTGAATTCCTGGTGGTCACATCCCTCTGCTTCCCTCTGCACCAGGGAGATGGGGAATCCTGCAGGGATGGGGCAGGGGGAGCTTCCTCCCGAGCTACTGAAGGAGCTGGACCTGGGTCCTGCACTCCTGGGAGCAGGATGGTGGTGCCAGGGGCAGCTAGGAAGTTAAGGTTTTAAATTGTTCTCTTAAATAAATAGAGATCAAATGCTTGCCCTTAATACCAGGGAAACGATCTTTGCTTGCACCAGGAAGCTGCTGCAGGTTTGCTGTTGTTGGATGTGGGCCTACTGTTGGTCAGGGTTGTTTTCCCAGCCCCAGGGTATTTCAGGATAGTCCAGCTCCTTTCCTGGGGGCTGTTTCCTGCCGCCCAGAGCCAGCTTCCTGGAGCAGTGTCTTGTTGAGGTCACCTATTCAGGGGGCATTAACTGATACAGTGGAAAGAAAGTGAAAACCACACCTATGACACATATTTTTCAGCAATATTACAATAATTTATAAAGGCATCAAAACAAATTCAACATCTATTAACAAGCTGATTTTTGAAACAACATTTAAATTATGAGGACATTTTGGTGAAGTTGAAGGCACCTTGGAAGGAGGTGGAGTAACAGTAAAATCCTTCTGCAGCTCCTGCTCCCTCCCATTGCCCAGCAGCTCTTCCTCCTGCCCATCAGCCACTGGCACATGGTGCAGGCAGGAGGAATGGCCCTCTCTGTACACCAATATTTACTGTTCCACCCCAGGCACAGGTTCTGCACATTGATTGGAAAGAGACAAAACATTGCTTCAGGTTTTCGTGTTCCTTTGTGTCCGAGCAAAGGTCGAGGAGGAGTTTTCCTGTGTGAATGATTTTGCTCTCAGCATTCAGGAGAAACAACAGGGAACCACGACTGTGCTGTCAGAGTCCCAGGGGTGTTTGTCAGCCAGAGGGAGGCTGTTGTGGGGCTGGATCCCGAACTGTTGCTGTGTGCTGGCTCTGGGAACAGCCCTGCTGTGCCTGCCTGGAGCTCCAGCGCGGGCAGTGGGGGCCCTGTGTGTGCAGGGGCCAGGGCCAGCTCTGCAGCAGCCCCAGGGGCAGCCTCGCTCAGCCAGGGACGGGCTCCACCTGCAGGGGCACTGCAGGGAGTTCAGCATTTCGCCAGAGGGGACTCTTGATTCGTACAAAGCTGGTCCTGTAAAAGGTGCAGCAGAGGCAGCAGGAGAGGGGAGACCTCTCAGTGCAGCCCGGTTTGAGAAGGACCCGTCCCTGCTCCTGCTCACTAAGGACCTGCTGGAAGAGGATGAGTTGCTTCAGGTGGAGCTTGAAAGGAGCAACGTGGCAGGCTGTCAGGACAACCCCCCTGGCCCAGCTCCAGCTCTGCAGGTACATTTTCCCTGTGCAGAGGGTGTGAACTGAAGCCAGGCCGGGCACTGTCCTGGAGGGACTTCCTGCTGCCCTGGGCACAAAGTGGCCCAGGAGCAATGGCCCTTGGAGCCTCCCTGGTTCAAGTGAGTTGGTATTTGGCTCCAGCTGTGAGCGGGATGTGAACAGAACTGCAGGAGCAAATCTGCTCTGCCTGACCATGCAGGGGCTCCTCCCCCTGCCCCAACCCCGCCTTGGGCACTGGGATTGATAAGGGAAAGCCAGGCAGCTGAGAGAATCCCAGACAGCATGTGGGACACAGGGTACTGGTTACAGCCTGTTTACTGAATCACCTGCCTTCTGTGGGAAAAGCTGCTTTATCAAGTCATAAAACCAGGGAAGCTTCTCTGTGAGCCTTGCCATCGCCCTCTGCTAAAGTCACACTCTGCAACATCACATGTCAGTGAAACCACTTCTGCTGCTCCCTTTGACAGGGGTTCTTTAAGCAGTTTAAATTGTCCATTTGCAATAAATCAGTGGAGTTGGCAGGATCCTAAACCAGGATTTATGACAGGACCTTCGTACGGGTCAACACAGCCCCACCATCCTGCCCCAGCAGCTCTTCAGGTGCCAGCTCTGAGTTACCATTGGTTTTTTCAATGTATTAACACATTCCTTGGGTTACTGAAACCTGAAAATATCAAGAGTGGGTCCCTGTCCCTACAGAATGATTTATCAGCAGCTCCTAAGAGCCACTGGTTTAACCTGATCAAAATAGGAAAAGGAAAGCTGAGCCCTAAAATCAAGGGAAGTGCCTGACCAGCCTCCAAGGCAGGTTGTGAGAAACGCTGGGAAGAGCTTCCTCTGCAACAGCAGCCTAAGGAGTTTTAATGAGCCTGGGAAGCCACAACTGTTGGATTAACTGTTCCTCGGAGTTCAACTGCCAGATTTGGTGACAACCTTGGCACAGGAAAATGTTTTCCACAGGAAGGAAGCAAAGAGTCCTCCCTGGCACTGCCCCGGGAGCAGGAGCGGAGCAGGCCCCGGGTCCATGTGTCCCCCGTGGTGGCAGCTGGTCCCTGATCCCGCAGGCAGTGCTGGATGGTGTGAGCTGTCACACGAGGCTCCCTGGCCAGGACACCACCGTCAGGGTGACTTTGTTGCGCTGCTCCTTCAGCATCGGGATCAGCTCCGCGTTGCTCATTCCGATGGCCGGGACTCCGTTCACGGCCACGATCTCGTCTCCACACCTGGGAACACAGGACACGCTGGGCAGGCTGAGGCAACCCGGAATTGCAGCCCCCAGGGTCAGATCACCCACCCTGAGCCAACGTCACCAACTCCTACTGGGAGCAGCTTGTTCCCTTGTGAGTCCGAGGGAAGAGAAAGGGAGGACACTGCTGGTGGCAGAGGGAATGGCCCCAGGAGCACGACCAGGGCAGGGACAGCAGAGGGAGAAGCTGCAAGGGCAGGTTTGTGCTGTCCCACACTCCTGACCCAGGTCAGTGCTGCAGGTCAGGCACAGTCCCCCAGAGGAGGTGCTCTGCAGGCTGGAGCTGTACTGTCACCCTGCAGCTCAGGACAGCAGGGGCTGAAGGTCCTGTGGGATCTGCCCCTCTGGTACAGCAGCACCTCTAGAGGGCTGGGAGGTGCTGGAACCTCACCCTGGCTCTGATGGGGAGACACATCCCTCTCCTGTCCTCCCACTCCCACTGAGCCCAGTCCTCCCACCACAGCTCTGGCCTCTCCCAGCTCTGAGGAGAGCAAAGCCTGGCTCCCTCCACCCAAACCACAGCCCCTGCAAAGACCAGCCTCTGTCCTTCACAGTCCTGCACCTGCAGCCTGTGGGGAGCCAGTTCCTGCTTCCCAGGGATAGCACTGGGGCTCCTCCAGCTCCACTCCTCCCCTCGGGGATTTCTCACTCACAAACAGCTCGGCAAAGCTCCATTTTAAGTTTCCTTTTGTTGCTTCTATTGGGATACTTCTGCTTACCCAAGAGATATTATATTCTAGAACCTCCAAGATTCATCTCAAACATCCCCTTTCTACTTTTCCCTAATTACTCAATTAAGACCTTTACAGCCCTTTAAAACTTAACTGTTAATTCCTTTTCATTGCACCTTTATGGAGAAACCAAAACACTCCTTAATACAGGACTTGGTTTGTTACATGTTTGGCATCAGCATTAACTGTGCAGTTGAGTGTGTAGGAATTACAGTCATTAACTTTTAGCTGGGCTGGTCTCAAGGGGCAAAGGGAAAACCCCGGGACTGTTTGTGATGCCCCCCAGCCACCCGGGTAGTTCACACCTACTTGAGCTTCCTGTCCCGGAAGGCAGGAGTGCCAGGCACGATGGTTTTGATGAAGAAGGGCTGGTTTCCTTTGCTCTCCTCAAAGCCCCCAACGATGCTGAAGCCCCAGCTCTCCAGGTTCCCTTTACTCAGGACAATGTCCTGGCAGAAGTGCAGGTAGCTGTGGCAGAAACAGAGAGAGCTGGTGAGAGCCTTTGAAGGAAAACTGCCTGACCAGAAGCTTCTGATTCCCCTCAGGGAAAGCACATGGATCCAGCTATGTCACAGCCTCATTTTTTTCCAGGATTTGAGACACCCCTTTGCAGGGCTAATTCTAAAATCTGACCTTTGGACTCTTTTCTCAGTGTTGTCAAAGAGTTAACAGGAAATTCCCATTCTCTGGAGGGGTCTGTGACCTGAAAGACTCGGGAATACCTTCAGGAATTCTCCCAAGGAACACATGGCCCAGTGACAAACTCACGCTAACGGTGAGCAGCAGCTACAGCCACACAATTCCTGAGAGCAGGGCCTGCTGTCCCAGCTCTAAGGGCAGGCAGAGTGCAGGCAGGCACAGGGCAGGCACAGGGCAGGCACAGGGCAGGCACAGGGCAGGCACAGGGCAGCTGTCCAGCCCTGGAGAGGGCAAACACGGGAGGCAGAGCTGCCTTTCCTCTGCCTGCCAGCTCGGAGCGTGGCCTGTCCTGAGGATGCAGGGTGGCTGTAAGCTGAGAGCTGCCAGGCCCGTTTTTGGCTGCTGGCCATGGAGGTTTGTCTCCTCAGGGAGCCTGGGAATGCGATGTGAAGTGCTCAGCAGCACTTGCTGCCCAGGGTGGCACAGCGACACAAAGCCTTGGCCAGGCAGGGAGGGGTGGCAGGAGCGTCCCGTGTGCCCTGGCTGCCACTCAGGGCTCGGTGTGAAACTGCTGCTCCTCACCCCTGAGCTGTTCCAGCAGCTAAGCTTTTCCTAATAAACGTTTTTGCCTCGAGGGCTTCGCTGGAGCCGTTTGCAGAGGAGTTTCAGATTTCAAAAGCCTTCTCAGTTCACTTCTCACCAGGAGAAAGATCCAATTATCTACTTCAAACTGTTTACTTTGGTAGGAGTTTTTCACACATAAACACACATAATCCAGCTCCAGCTTACTGGTTCCTCCATGGATTCCTTCACAGGTACCACACAAGTGCAAAACCAGCTCTGAGACACATCTGGGGCAGTGCAAATAAACAGCCCTGAGAGCAAGAGGGGCAAGTGCACAGAATGGAAATCAAAGCATCAGACATAAAGGCAGTTTGCTAGAAATCAGTTTTCAGCACAAAAGAAGAGGTTTTAGGAAGGGAAACATTAATTTAGTATTATGTAAAATGACTGTGGGAAAAGAATTGAGGACTTTAGGGAAGGTGGAGGTGCCGGTTTTACAGTGCCAAGCCTAAGCCCGATGCTGAGCTGGCACTTCCTCAGCCCTTTGGGAGTTTGGAGTGTGCAGCTCCAGCAGGGCCCAGGCAGGAGCACCACGGTGGTGTGGGAAGAGCTCGAACTTTGTGTCCCTGTCTTGGACAAACCAGGGAAGAAGGCAGGAGGAAAACTGCTTTTCCACCCCCAGGAGTTACCCATAAGCCATACTGTGCACAGTTACTGTTTTCAAGAAGCAAAGGTTTTACAGAGAAAAGATACATCAGTCTGTGACCTTGGTATTTCTGGTACCTTTAGGGTGCAGTGTTTAGGACACAGACCCCCTCCAAACCAGCATTTGAGATGGTATTTTGTACTGCCTATGGCTGGTATTGATTTAACATAATACCATCAAGAAATCAAAGTTTCTATGCTCTATCTGTGACGAACAAGCAGCAGCAATAAATGGTAGTAAACCACTGGAGCCCTCTCTGCCACCAGTTAACGCAAAGAATGGAGGGCAGTGAGTTTATGAGGACAGCAGGTTTGCATTACAAGACAAGAAATGCCAGCCCCTGGGTCAGCATAGCCAAGGAGTTGCTCCCCAGGGTCCCAAAGAGGGCACAGGACCAGGGCTGTCCTCTCTCTCTCTCTCTCTCCTAAAACCCACAGCAGTGCCTGGCACAGAACCCAGGCCAGGCTGCAGGGGCTCCACTGTCACAGCACATCCCCAGGAGTGCCCAGGTGGCAGCTTTTGGCAGAAACAGGGACCACAGATCAAGAATCAAAGCCTGAGTTAAGCACTGTGGGCTCAAGCGCTGCAACAACCAGATATACTTCCCTAGTTTGGGTTCAAACTAGAAAGAAATACATTCCTCTAGAAACAAAGGGATATTTCTGCTGGGTCAGAGGAATAACTGAAAAAATAAAAGCTGAACAAACCCAAAATTGCACATGCAGTAAGCATTAAACTCTCCCACTGCACTGCAGAAGGCTCTGGCACACTGAGGCCCTTCAGCAGGGCAGCCCAAAGGAACAGGTGCCACTGCTGAGGACACAGGGGCAGTTTGGGCACACTGCAGGGGATTCCTGCACTGCAGGGTCAGGGTGGCACACGTGGGGTCTGTGCAATGGGCTCCTCTGCAGCACTGCAGGGTCAGTCCTGTCCCAAGGAAACCCAGCTCGGGGGGTGACCCCAAACACTGCAGGGGGACACTGGAGGGATCCTCATTTCAGCTGCACCTCCCTGAAACCTGAAACCCCAGGTAGCATTGCCAGGGGACCAACAGCGGTGTCTGTGGGTCACCAGCCAGTTCCTACCAGGTCTGACTGCGAGCACATGGGAAAAGGAGTGAGGAAACACAGGAATTTTTATTGTTGGAAACAAGGAAGAAGATTTGGTGAGTTCTTGAAATGAAATGACCTCACCAGGTGCCTTCTGAAAACCCTCACAACCAGAACTGTACACAAGGACAGGGGCTGGAATTTGGGCTGGAGCAAAAGGAAGAAAAGAGCAGAAAGGGCACCTGAAATCCTGCTCCAGGTCCAGTCACAGTCAAAGGAAGGGGGGCAACATTAACACCAGCAGCAAAGAATATCAAGCAATGTATTAAATGGCAGGGAATGCCAGGAGACTCCTGAAATGAGGGCAGGTGATCCATGAGCACAGAGGGACTCCAGTCCCTGGAGCAGAACAGGGTGTGGTGAAGCTGCAGGTCACCCACATCCAAAGAAACTGGGAAAAAGGAAGAAAGAAAGAAGTACAGCCAGGTTCTGTCTTGCTCTAGTGCTGCAGGAGCACCCCTGAGGAACACACACAGGCAGCATCTGAGGGTTTGTGCTCCAGTTTGGGCTCAGCTCAGGGCTGCTTCCCACTAGACCTGCCCAGCACAGACAGGGATTCCTGGGAGAGCAGAGGGAATGGAAGGAGAGTGCTGAGCACAGGCCAAGTTACAGTCACTCCAGACACAAAAGCCCTTCCTTGGGTTGGTTTGTTCAGCATTTACAGGCTGCTAAGTAACTCAGGGGTAACACAACAGAGCCTTTGTCAAGTGTTTCTTCTTTCAGGTGCCTCAAGAAACAAGGCTGTAAATAATCCAGGCTTCCCACAGAAGGGTTTGGCTTTACTCTTCCACGTGCATCTCCTGCACAATCCTCCTCTAGTCACTGGGATGACAACAGGCTCTGCCTTTCGCAGTTCAGTTGATTTTGGTGCAACTGCACAAGTGAGCAAACCAGACTTTCACCTTTCCAGGAAGTCTTAGTGCTGTCACCTGGAACATCCCGTGATGCTGCTAAAAGCTGTGCTCAGTCTGTGCTCCAAAGCCTTGCAGCAGGAAAACTCAGCTATTCAGAATCATTTCTGCTTCATGCTAAAGATGACACAATTACAACAGCCAAGAAGAACAGACTGAAAGAATGTCTGCCCCTAAGTGAGATGAGCAGATTAGAAACTACCAAACAGCTCCGGGGTCTGGCTTGTGTGAGGAGATCTAGAAGGGGAATTCAGTTAATACCAGAACAGGGGCTGGATCAAACATTGACTATTTCTCTTTGAAAAAAGGCGATTCAGGAGCTTCTACCACACGGTTACTGTCCCACAGGAGTGGGGCAATGATGGGTCACACCATAAAAGCCGTGGAAGTTTCTTATGCATTCATTACACTGTGATCTCATTGGCAAACAAGGCTTCCCACTGCCTCACAGCTAAATGGGAATGCCAGCAATGCTTCCAAGGTAGTCAACAAAGCAATTAATTCCCAGTGTTTGAGTGAAAGTCAGGCCTGTGATTACCTGCTCTGCACAGCCACTGAACACACATACCTGGGCAGTCCCAGCCATGTGATCCAGAGGGGGGACCAGCTGAATCCCTGCTCCCTGACGTCCAGGGGTGCCTCTGGTGAGTTGAGGGAAAGGATTTCCAAGGCTTTCAGTGTGACTGAGTGGGAAGCAGCATTAGATTTCAGTGCTGCCACAGCTTCATAATAGTTCAGATGAGTCAAATCAATGCCATTGATGCTCAAAAGTACATCTCCTGTTGATGAAATAAAAAGGGACTATTATAGACCTTCTGCTTCGAAGCCCGTTTCTGCCTCAAGGTGTCATGTGGAATCCTGTTTCCAGCCTCACTTTGGTGTCCAAGTCCAACTTTCACTGAAAAAAACCCCCATTTCCAAAAGGATAAAGGGTCCCAGAGCCTCCTTACCTCTCTTGATTCTGCCATCCCTGAAGAGGCACCCGATGGGCTGCACACTCGTTACATAAATAGGGAGCTTGTTTTTGTTATCCCTTCCACCTCCAATTGTTATTCCTAAAGATTCCTTTGGTTCCTTTTTGATTGCAACTGTCTTTTCATGACTTGCATATCCCTGAGGTAAATCCTAAAAAGGAATGACAGCACAAAATGCAGCTTCAGTAATGTAATCAACACTAGAACCCAGACCTGGGAGATAACCACAGAACATTTATCTGTTATCCAGAACATTCCAGCAGTGTTGCTGGGTGGCAAAGTCAGCTCCCCATGTCTTTGCTCTGGGTGGAAATGCAGAGTAGTGTTTCCCTGGTGAGCCAGCAGGACCAGGGCAGTGCTGTCCTGGTGTTCCCACATCCATTTTGCTGTGGAGATGCTCACTGAGGAAGATAATTTTACACTGAGGAAAAGCTTTGAACTCATTTCAAGGCCATTCCTATCAAGCAATCAAGCTCTGACTAAGTGTTGAGGTTGCAGTGAGAGCACACATCAGAGCACAGGCTGTACAAACAGTATGGAAATGTTCCTGCAGGATTAAATCAAGGAACCACGCTCCCTGTATGACAGCTACCTACGGGACTCAGGGACACTCAAACACACAAGCCTAAGCACATGCAGCATGTTTTCTCACCCAACGGGAAGTTCTAAACACAGAGTAACTCTCTCCTGGTACACTAGGCTGGTGATTCTCCTCTGGCTCATGGTGCCTTCTGTGTTGCACAAACACACAATGCAGCCCCAGAGCACCAGTGTCCTCTGGGATTCTGCTCCTGCACCATAAAGGCCTCTGGCCCCACACCAGCATCACCTGGGTCAGTGCAACACCCTGAACATGTGGGGCTTGGAGGGTGTGGAGAAGCAAGTCTCGAGCAACACATGAATGGTAAATTCCTCATTGCCCTTTCCAGACAAGAAAGGATTAAACACCAGTTCTGCATCCACATGAGAGACACTTGAAGAAATTTTGACACCTCTTCCCTTAAAATGATGTTTCCCAGCAGATGACAAACTGGTTCTCCAAGACCAAAAGCCACAAACCTGCTGCTTTTCAACAGGTCAAGTAGCAATGGAGCTGCTGCTCAGCCCTACAGGATAAGTCAGCACTGCAGAGCAAACACAGCCCCTCTGCTGGGCCAGGAACAAGCAGCCCTTCTGCCCTCCTTTGCCAGCCTGACCTTCTGGTAGGTGGATTTCCGTCTGTAGTGGTTCTGGTCCAGCCGCCTCCGGTGGTGGACGGGGCTGCCCCCACTGCTGCTGCTGCTGCTGCTGTTGGAGGAGCTGCCATCCTCTGCTGGCTCTGGCAGCTGCACCCCGGGCTGCCTCAGGATCACAAAGTTCACTCTGGATTCAGTGGTCTGCCAGGAGAAACCAGGAGTGTAAATAAAACAGAGAGAAAAATAAATGAGCAGTTAGGGACAGCCCCTGACATTCTCCTGGGGAAAGAGAAGGGTTGGCATTGATCCCCACAAAGTCTGGAACAGCTCCTTGACATGCTGCAAAGTCTTTTGCGAAGAGCCAGGGAATGCTGTTAGAAGAGAAGAGGATTGGCAAACACTAGCCAGAAGGAACAGGAGGAGAGGCAGGCTTCACTCATCCCCCCTCTCCAACAAATGCCAAGCAAGAGAAGGTGGAAAGGGATGATTAACTCCTCCACTTGAGTACAAATAGCCAAAATGACATATTGTGTTGTGATCCAAGGTGAGCAGAGCTGGAACACTGACTGGGCCACACCATTGTCGTGACAAGCACTGGAGGCTTTCCTTCCATTGTAAAGAAACTTCTTCAAGCTCTTTCCCTCCCAGCCTGTGCTCTCCATTGTTCCACATCTCCCAGCCATTTTTCCCCCAGAGTACCTGAAGACACGACCTCTGCTCTGAGTCTGCTGCCAATTAAACACTTAACCAGCTGTATGTCTGGCCTTGGCAGAACTACAGGGGACGTCCCCACTATTGTTACTGCTCTTCTGGTTTGGTTTGTTCTTTCAGATCACTTGACAAACCCTTATTGGGAAGGACTCCACTGGGGTAGGGTGGATGTGCTCCCTTGGGTGTTTCCTGCAGGGCATGACAGAAATACATTTGCTGCTTCACTTCTTGCCACAGAAGGACCCCATTTCCCTGCTGCCACAGCACACAGGCAGCAGGGAATTCCCTGGCCTTGGAAGAGGGACTTTTTAAGTTACATTTAACCAAGAATTGGAGTTAGCCCTCAGAAGAACAGATAATGTTTGGAAAACTGTCACAGTTTTACAAAAATATTACTTCAAAAGGATTCAATCCCCAAACCTAATGAAGCCAGTTCTGAGACTTCGGTTACTGGTTCCAGTGGGATGAGACAGAGTTCCTCTTCTGGGAATTGTGTGTCCACATTGTGACAGAAATACAGCGGCACTTGTGGGATGCAAACAAGTTCTAAGAGGCCATAGAATGGAATCACATATTTAACATGAAAAGGGATCTCAGTAGTGGAACTATTCCCTTTCCCTTCTTTTCTCCCATGCACTGTGCTCCTCTGATTGCCAGGAAGAGAACTGGTTCTCCCTCAGCACTGACCTCACATCCTTTTGGGATATAAACAGTGTGATGAGATGTATTGTGTCAGGATCCTCAGATAAAACCTCAAACTGGAGGTACTTGCCTAGGAGATAAAGAACTTAAACTGATCTATGTGATATCTGCTGCACATGAGCAACCCTTAATCCTTTCACCAAAATTCCTTGCCCATGCTTTCCCCAAAACATCTGGCATGCTGCAACAGCAGCAATTCCTCATTGTACAGGGGAAGACCACCCCTCCTCTATCCATTTAGCATCTTGGAATGTTTTCGGGCTGAGGGGCCCCACGTTGTTTTCTAGACTCTTCCCAAATACAGGGAAAATGGGGAGAAAGGGCTTCAAATCAGCCCGAAGGGTTTTGTTCTGTGCTGCCAGCCCATCACAGCTCCCAACAAGCACCTTCCCTCTGTTTGAATCACAGAGGGCTGTCCTGATCCCTGCTCTATGAATCCACACAGTGCAGACAACATTCCCTCTGCAGGAAAGGCTGCAAACAGCACCAAGGAGATCCAATCACCTCGGATGAACCACTGAGCCATGAGCCACTGCCTGGCCCCAGAGCTGTCAGAGTGACTCACAGTGATACACACTCTTCATGTTTGTCTTCATGTGGAAGTGGTGATCCCACACATCCGCAGGGAAGTCGCTTTCCCAAAGAGATATTTGAAGGAATGCAGGTTGCTCCTGTGTGTTCTGCCAGCCCTTGGGTCAGAACAGGAGCCCTGCCATCAGCCAAAGAGCTGCAGAGCATTCCCATCCACATCTTACACCTGAGCTCACCTGGATGATCTGTGCTGCGGCCTCAGGTGTCCCTTGCCTCAGATCCTGCCCATTTATTGACAGCACTCTGTCATTCCGACTCAGCCTCCCATTTTTGGCTGCCAAACCTCCCTCTAAGAGATCCAGAATAAAAATCCCAGCCTCGTCAGTCTTCCTGATCAGTTTGATTCCCAGGGGTTCGGAGCGGTCTCTCTTGATCAAGGTGACGTGGATCACTTCCCGGTTTGCAGAACTGGAATCCTGCTGTGCAGTCTTGTTGGAAAAGCCCTTTTCCTGCAGGACCATGAGGTGGAGAACAGGGCCTGGGTGGCGCAGGAAGGAGACAGCCTGGCAGTGAGTCACACTGCTGATGTTGACACCATTCACCTGAGAGACAAACACAGCACAGGCTCTAATCAGGATCCATGGAATCTGGGCTCTGAGGACAGGGTGGGACATCACCCAGCTGGAGCAGGATGTCAAACTCCCTGTGCAAGGCTCTAACTGCAGCAGCTGCTTCTGAGGCACGTCAGAGAGCAGTTTTCCCAAAAAGAATGAAGAAAGCTGCAGATGAAGTTAGACTGTAATTGCTGGTGATTAACTGAGGGCAGGGAGAGATAGGACACCTCACATACTAACAAACCTGACACTGCAAAGTGTTCAGTCATTCCTTCCATCCCTTGGCAACTTTCCCTTAACTTCCAGCCTTCAGTACAGACTTGGAAAAGGCTCAAATTGAAGGCTGCCTATCCTCCCTTTTAAGCTGAGGAGTGGTCCACAGTCCACAAGCTTCTGGAATCACCTGGCTAATGACGCTGTTACCAAGGTAACTCTGAGAGTTCTCATTTTGTCAGTTATCACGTAAGACTCTGTGCAGTCTTTTGGGACTAAGTGTGGGGACCTGCCCTATTAACACCTAGCCGAGACTGAGACATGTACAATCCCACTGGATAACAGAGAAGTTACTCCAGTGGTCTCCCTAAGGAACCAGGTCAGAGATGGGATCAGCCACTTGTGCATGTGGGGCTGCCACTCCTTCATGGAACCACAGTCATGGAATATCCTGAGCTGGAAGGGACCCACGAGGATTATCCAGTCCAACTCCTGGCCCTGCACAGGACCATCCCCAGGAGTCCCACCGTGTGTGGGCATCAGGAAGGATCCCACAGGACAGTGAGGTCCTCATGGCCTGTCAAATGCCTGGGCAGCCAGGGATGGAGGTGTCCCCTCCCTGCTGCACAAAGCTGGTGTCCCCTTGGTCCCCCACTGCCACACAGGTGACTAACCTGGGAACTCCCCTGACTGTGGGCTGGTGCTCTGCATTTCTCACATCACATGTCTAATGCTCACTTCACTCATAAGGTCACTTTGGACCTGCCCATGGAGAACATGCAGCTTAAGCAACATGGGAAAACAAGCAATTATGAGACTTCCTGACTAGAGCGTCGCCCTTTGGAGAGAAACGGAGCTACTGTGTGAAAATTACCAGATAGAAATCTTCCACTTTTTCCAAAATGGTCTAAATTTAGACCATCAAATATGCAAGGGAAATATGAGTGTGCCTGTAAAGGAGCCACAAAAGTCTGCTCCTCAGCCCCAGCAGATACACAATGCTGCTGACACACAGGTCTGATCAGTGCTTTAAGACCCTCAGCTGTGGAAATTTCCCAGTTTTTCCGGGCAGCTCTCCTCCCCCAGCCCTCATGTCAAGTCAGGAGTAGCAATGGCACTACCAGTGGGGTTTTTCCTACCTCCAGAATATGATCCCCAGGTGCTATTCTCCCATCTGCAGCAATCACAGAGTCCCGCAGCACTTCCTGAACAACAATGTTCCCCAGTGGGGTGTCTTTACCCCCCACGATCCTTATCCCCAGCTCCTCCTCCAGGTCTTCTCGGTGGATTTCAATGGTGGTGGTTTCAGCCACAAGACTCGTTCTGTGAGGGAGGTCTGCTCGAGGAAAGTGAAGAGAAAAAACAACACATTCATAGAATTTTCCTTCTCGTAGCACCACAAGATTCATACCCCTGGCAGGCTGTGTTCAAAGCCTGGAGGGAAAGCAGCTATCAGGAGACAAAAGGTCAGATGAAAGGCTTAAAAACCCTCTGTTTCTTTACAGTTCCTCCAGAATGCTTCCCATTTTCTCCTAGCTTATGTTGAATTCAAACTCTTTATTATTATGGCTTGAGTTCTATTAAAGGACATTCAGTATGTTTTGGCTACTCTTTAGAGGTGTATTTTCCTCCTGCGACAGCTGTCCTGCTAGAAGCACACACATAGCAAATTCCAATTTCCATGATGCCCATTAGGGAAGGGGACTACCCAGTAATTACTGCTCTGCTGCTGCAGTGACTTTACCATAGGCACCTCACCGCAACTTCCTTCCTCTAATTTCCTCTGCTCCTCTTTTCCCAGCCCCCCTGTAAAACAGGAATCATGTTTGGCTATTTCCCAGCATCCTGAGGATGAAGCAATGCCTCACTTTGAAGATGAGAGTAGTTGTTAGCAGGTCCTATTGAATCTCCCAGCACTGAGCCGTTCAGGCAGCCCAGCACGGACACAGCCCAGAGCGCTGCTTGGCAGGGTGAAGGGCACTTGTCACCAAACCTGCTCCAAGTGCACTTGAGGAGAAGCCAAGAGAGAAGTGAACTGACCTGTGCGTTACCTCTGTCCCAGGCACAGCAGTTGTCAGCTCCAGCTCACTTGGAAGCTGAGAGTAACTTTGAAAGAGGCACAGGGATTTCCACGCTGCTGCCTCCTAACAGGGCTTGAGACAAGCGGTGCTACACTGGAGATGGTTATTTTATCTGCAAGGCTTTCAGAACTGACTATTAATCCAAACCCTAACTTATGCTGTAAAAACACACTCACTGCACACCATTAGGGAGGGACTGACCAGGAATATACAGGAAACTGTATATTTAATTTTCCTAACGAGATTAAAAAGAACCTGGAACAGTTCCTAGTTACTAATTATTTGGCTCCACGTTCACATGGACAGGGACTGCCTTTGTTTCTGCAAAGAATTCTGCAAATACTCGCTGCTGTCTAACAGAGGCTCTCCAAATTGTTTTGCTCAGTTCTGTGCTTGTGAGCAGATCCTGCCACCCCTGATGCACATGAACACATCTCCCTGCTGCTCAAGGACAAGCTGAGCAAAGAGATTACTCTGATGGCTGCTAATGGCTGAATAGCACTGAGGATGTCTGAGAGTGCTGGGGACACTTTAGAAACTGAACTGTCTGAGATAATTACCTCATTTTTATATTATAAAAGATAAATACATAATTACACTTGTGTATCAAACTCTCACCTTCTTCAGTCTCCTCAAAAGCTGGATTAACCAGCCCAGGCTCAGCAGTCCCCAGTGACACCACAGCAGCTCCAGAGCTTTCTGCCACAAGTGATGAGCCTCCACCTGGTACCTCCGCATCCTTGGGCGTGTTTGTCTCCCCCTTGGTGGGAGGATCTTCCTTCCCTTTGGAAATGGGATTCTTTTTCCTCTGTAGTTCAGATTTGTATTTCTTGAACCCGGGACACCTGGAGAGAGATTGTCAGGGTCTGTCAGTGCTGTCCCTGCCTGGATGACCTGGCACATGCAAGCTCTGGCTGACAAATGTATGTTCCAGATCTCACCAGCTGCAATGCTGGTAGCACAGATGCTAAAACTTATTCTCATTTGACCTTCAGCTTCCACCTGTACTAATATCAGCTTAAGAGCAGGCTTGCAGTTTCACTACTTTCAAAATTATTAAGCAAATTATTTTAAGAAGGAGAACATAAGAGGAATGGGAGTCTCCCTTGCTAAATATTTACCTGGCAAACACTCCACGAAGAGAACAATACTTAAAATATAAGCAAATACTCAGCTCTGACGTTTTAGAGACGACTATGAACTGTATCTTTATGCAAAGAAGGTGGCTCAAGTTTCAAGCTGGGCCTTGAATTAGGCTTTGTTTTTAGCACACAAGAGCAGCAAGGGAGGCTTGTGCATTTTGTTTTGTGGAATGAGCCCTGCCCCTCAGACACACTCCGGCCCCAGCCTCCTCCAGTCCATGCAGTTGACGCCTCTGCCTCAATGAGAGCAATTTAGAGTTTCTGATCCCACTGGGTACTCCCCACACAGAAGCAATTCTCCATCCAAAATGTTCCCTGTGCTCAAATACACCACAACCAGCCTCTCTGAGCACAAGGGGTGAGGAAGAACAAGCTCTTTTATTGTGAGTCCTTATACAAAAGGTGACGGGTGAGGAGGGTGGTGAATGCAAAATCATCACTTTCAGAGACATGGGTAGTATTGGGTGTTTACCACTCACTTTTCAAATTAAACTTGACTATTTACATTCTGGCTAAACAAGTCTCACCCCAGTATTACTTCCTCTGGTTTATTCCTACTCATTTATTCTCCAAGCAGTAAGATGATCCTGAAATTTAACGACAGGAGCTGATTGATCCACTTGTGCCCTCTTTAGATGGCAAGAAAAAAATTCATTTTGCAAATGGTAGAGAAATCCCCTGAGAAAATAAGTTTTTAGATGCTTCTTATTTTCTTAAATCTTCTGCTATCAGTTAATCTCACTTAAAACTGAAAAATAGGAACACCCAAATCCCAGGGTGAGTTTTTAACCCGTTTCTTTCCTCCCCGTTTTTCAGTGTGACTACAGCCACAGCCCAGGTGAAACAGTTTCACTTCCTAGAATACACCCCTCAAGGGAGATACAAACAACTATGAAGTGCATAAGAGAATGATACAGTTTCCAGACAGCTCTCTAAACATTTGAGGGTGCCTCCCTCTCTCCTCACTCTTGTGCCAGAGGGATTAAGGAGTGACAGGAGTTTACTGATAGCAGGGCAGATTTGCAGAGCAGAGGAAGG